AGTGTTCTGCAATACTTGGTATTAGTGCACATTATTGCTGTATCAAATAATTTGCAACACCTTTCAGTTTCTGAAACAATTTTAAATGAGTGTAATTAATGTGCTAAATAAGAATGGCAGTAATGCTTTGTTTACTATTTTTTCTTAGCCATGCAAAGCTTCTTGTGGAAGATACAATACGAAGAAATGCATCTCCTATCAGAGTAAGTACTTTGCTAGTTTTAATAACAGATGTTAAGGAAATAATATTGCTTATGCTATTGCTTGTTTATAACATTATCAGTTACTTAAGTTTTCAGGAGAGTAAAAAGCACTGACATGTTGAGATATTAACATTTTCACCATAAAATACGCAGCCTTTATCTTCATATTATGCCATATATATTTAATCACTAAAATAATGTGTTTTTAAAATCTCTTCTTTTGAGGAAAACACTTTCAAAATAAAAAATATTAGTAATAGGAAAAGTTAATAACTAGGTTACAAATTGCTGTGGCATAATAAAAAATAGCCAAAAATAGTTTCAGAATGTCTCAATAGTGCAATCATACTTTGTATTGAATGAATGAGCAATGCTAGTAATTATTAAAGGCATGTCAAGAGTAAAAATGGCTATCAGGCCAAAGTAATATACATTAAAATGCTGTGATATATCTTTTGTAATACTGATCCATGTTCGAGGCAAGTGATAGAGCCCACTGCAAGAGGTGCAGTAGCACCAATGACAAAAGTTTTACCATTTAAAGAAGCAGTGAAATTTAGGGGTGGCGAAACTTTTAAAATTTAGAGAGATGGGAATTAAAGAAACTTTGAATGGTTAGTTAATACTGGCTGACATAAAACTGGTTTTTCCTCTCTTTCCTTAATTATAATTTATTAAAGTATATCTCAAGATTTAATTTTAATTGAAAATGACTCAAGTTCAGGAAGCTTTCATTAAGTCTCCATTAATAAAATTTTTTTAACAATATCTTTTAACTTTAAGATAGAAAAATATTTTGCTATTTCCTTTTAAAAGTGATTAAGTGTGTTAGTTTGAGTGACTAAATGTGACAGCTGCTTTTTAACAAGGAAGTACTAATATTTGTCACACCTTTTTCATATTAATGTCTATTTCTTAAATTAGGTAAATATATTTGATTTTCATTGTATATCATTCTTTTAATTTGCATATCCCCTGTAGGAAAATGCTGATACATCAGAATTAGGTGTGGATGCTAAAGAACACACAGAATTTGGTTCTTCATTTAGCCATCTTGATAATCAGTCATTTGTAAAGAAACAATTAGTTCACAGTTATAGCATGAGTGATGCATCAATGAAAGAATATTGTATTCCTGTTCACATCGGACATGATGTCATAAAATTGTCTGGAAATAAATCTGAATTGCTAAAAGTAAATTTTTTATATATTTAATTTTATTATTATTATTTGAGCCATATGTAGTTATGCATATATTAAACTGATCTCTTCCCCCCCCTTTTTAGACTGCAAAATTAGTTCTGACAGAATATTTTGCTGGGCAAACGAAGCTACAAGAAAAGGTATGAAAGGACTTTTAAATGAACACTGTTATCAGTATATTGTTCTAATGATCTGATTGATTAGCTGCTATATTTATGTATATTGATTAGCTGCCATGTTTGTGTATATTTTATTGTAAAAATTATTTGTATCAGTGTAAATCCATAAAATAAAGTTTTGTGTTTTGAGCCTCTGTCAACAATCTTGTGTTATCAATTCAGCATTGATATCGTGTTTTATCAATTCAGTGACTCTTGTTCTGTGTTATTAACATAATACTTTTGATACCATTTTGTATTGAACATGTGACATAAATTGCAGAATCAAGCAAAGGGTACTTTAAAATCTGAAAAGAAGTCAGAATGTTATATCCTTATAAACTCATTTTAAGGTTTATATTAAAATCTCTTTGCAGGATTTTATTTCTAGACTAGTTTATTAATATATGAATGAATTGTTTTTGTTTGTAAATTAGCAATATGAAAGCTTGTCATCTATGAGTATCCAGAGCCCTTCCGAGAATAGTATGCAAAGGTATAGTACATTTTAGACACATTTAACAGCCTTTATTTGAGATTAAATTTATAAAGATAATATTTTGTTCTGGGTTTATAAAAATTTAGTTTATTTAAAAAAAAAGAAACAACGAGAAAAAAAAAAAACATATCTGCAGTTTAAACTTAATATCTGCATAAATAAGAATATAGTTGCAATACATTTTAATTTAAAAAAATTTCAATAGTCCCTTGTATGATTTAGATGATAATGATTTAAAGGTGAAAAATGTTGGTATATTTGTAACATATATGTGGTTGTTAACTATTAAAAAAAAAAAAAAAAAAAAAGCATCTGTTTGTGTAAGTAAAAGAAAAATTTTTGCAATTTATATTTTGCACCATCAATGTAATTTTTAATCAAAATTAAATGAAAAAAATGTTGTCTTTAGGGATTGTTTGGCTTTCATGTTTAAATATAATTGCAAATCTGGATGTAATCATCTAACAACATGTTAAGATTGTAATTATTCTTATAGCTTCCATATCTGTGTCTTGTTTAATGGATTTTAAACTGAGCTATTACATCAGTTGATATATCAATAAGGATGAATGTTTAGTCATATTATGCCTTAAACTAAAGCAGTATTAATCGACATTTTAATTTTAAAGACCTTATTTAGAAGCTTATTTGAAAATTTTATATTACATTACAAGAAATAAAAAAATCTTCAAATATCATATGAACTAAATGATACTTGTAGGAAAATAAAAATGTTCTTATCTGCAGAAACATTTATTATAAATCTTAACTATATTATCTTCTGATAACGCGTGGTTGAAGCTTGTAAATTCAATTGGTGTGTAATCTCTGTATCAAAAAGGGGAAATAAAAATAATGTTTAAGCTAGAGCTGGGTATGATACTTTAAATTTGGTTCTCAGTTTTTTTTTAATTATTAATATTTGAGTAACTATTCATTTAAGAAGTAAACTTTCAGTCTTATAAATCACATAAAAATGAAAGTTTTATGCTGGCAAAAATAGATAAACCATCAGACACATTACTATAAACTCTTCTTTGTATGAAAATGCACGATGGGGTTATATTTATTTTCCTCCTATTTCAGTTTTTTAAGAAAGTTAAAAAAAAAATATTAGGAATCCTTTATTGTTAACCTTCTGAGTTGCACAGCTTTTTAGGTGTGCTCATGAAAAGCTACATTTGAGCAGCATTTATTAGCCAGATCTTGTATTACTTTTTTTATTTTTGTATCATTGCATCTGTTAGCTATTAATTAATGGATAAAAGTTTTATCCATTGTTTCCTTATTTAAGTCATTAATAAAATAGTGAAAAAAGACATCTTATGTAAGGTAAGCCATATTAAGTGCCAACAAATCTCATGATTGGATAAAAGCAACTGTGCTGCTTAGAGAGTTAAACAAGCTTAGGAGCAGCTTAGCATTAATAATTTTGTTAAACAAGTCATTTGTTTAATGAGATTACTAATTAGTTTAATTTCTCCTGTATTTCATATTTAGTGTTATAATTTGTATCTGATAAGAAATAAATTAAAATTTGATTGATAGTTAATTAGCCTGATATCTGTGTCCACATTTACTTTTAAGTGTATTTGAGAAAAGAAATACTGCTAGTATTTTGGAAAATTTTCACACTGCAAGCAAAACTGTATTAAGTTGTCCAGAAAGTATTGTTTTGGAATAGGGAACAGAAAATAATGTAACAAAAATATTTTACGTCTTAATAAATTACACAGTCACTATCGTGATCAATAATAGTCTGCTATCTTGAAATCAAATGCTCATTATGATCTGTTTTGATTTAGCCCCTATTTTCAAAACATGTCTAGTTCAGAAACTGGCCTATAGAATGGAACAAATGGTAATCTGTCAAAACAGTATCTCCTAAATATAGGAGAGAATAGGGAAAAATTTTGAGCCTAACTGACTAGTCTTAAAAATTACATCATATAAAATTACTTTCGGGTCAACCCAATATTTATAATTAATTCAGAAATTAAATTTAAAAATAGACATTTGCATTTGTAATTTATAAACCAACTGTAAAGAACAAAAGGCATCAGTTTGTCTTTTTCAAATGGTTTCCTAGAAATGCTCTTAAGTTTTATGTGTGTATCATAGGAAATAAAAGTATGGTATATTAAATTTTGACATTCCTAAAAATTCAAATATTTTATTTAACATTTAATCAAATAAGCAATAAATTATGCTAGATAAAATTGTGTATATTCTATATGTAACACATTGTAATTTATGTCTGCATTTAGGTTTGAATTACAAAGGCAGCCTTCATTGAAAAAAAATATGTTGGAGTCCCTTTCTTCCTCCAGAATGAATGACAGCTCAAAACGAGAATCCATTTCTCCATTTAGCTCTTCTGATGATGATGTTGGAAAGGATGATGTAAATATTGGGCTTGAAAAAGATAAAGCTGTAGGTTTTTAACAAATCTCTTTGCATTTTTATTAATAATAAAGTAACTGAAATGTCATAAGTGTAAGTTAAATGCAGTAAAACTTTAATCTATCATTTTTGCTCCTAAATGAAGTTCAAAATAAATAGCATTAGTTATTCCCACATCCATCATTTTTAAAACCACTGTTTTATCACATTAATCAAATGTAAATCATATTCCAAGTGATCACTGAAAATACAATTTGATGCAAAATATTTATTTATTAATAATTATTATCTTAACATAGGACTATCTGGGAATATAGTTATCCAGTAATGTCTTCATGTTTTCAGTCTAATATCAGCTTGTTGTTATCATCATTAAGTATTAACTTATATCAGCATCATTTTCAAATGCTACATCTGTTAATTTTCATTGTTTATTCTTGTTAGTTTTAGGAAATTTCAGAATTAATTTTTAAGTCTATAAGATATAGGGAAAAAGATAAAATGGAAATGGGGCCAAATTTCTGTGAGACTTATAAAGCTTTGTGAAAATTTAGTGTGTTTCTGTATATAGAAGCAAATGTGGACCATGAGCACATTTTAGCAAAGCTGCCAGCTCTCCTGATAGATCATCTGATCCCTTGATTTTTAATTTTTAAGATTTACTAATGAAAGTAAATGTTTTTCAGTAATAAAATTAATTTGTGTACATAAAATTCCTGCAGTTTAAGTTTTATTATTGAAATTTGAATTGCACAGATTTCATTCCACTACACCTAGTGATCTTCAGTGTCATTTTTATTACATTTATTTGATCTGAATTATCTTAGTTTACTGTTGATTTATATAAAATTTTAGATGAAGATTCAACCAAATATTTAATTAGTAAAAAATTTTTATTAATAATTTAATTGCATTGTTTTTGTAACTAATCTCATTTTTCTGACATGAGAACAAGCCCATGAAGTACTTCATGGCAAGGAGTACAGGATTATACCTGTCATTGGCAAGAGCCTTGGGCACTATATAGGTGATAAATACAGTTTTACCCAGTTCCACCCCAGTTTTGAGGAAGTGCACCCCATTGGGTGGGTTCGAGAGTCTTATCACCTCTCTTCCCTTCCCACCAATTCACATGAAAAGACTTTCAGCTCGCCATATATATAAAGTGCCCCCATGCCGCAAAGACACTATACATTTGTTTACAATACCCATGTATTTTCTGGGATTCGAACCTGGGCCTTTCTGTGCGATAGAGTCACTAGCTACTATCCCGTTTGGGTCGCGATTAAGTTATTGCATTACTAAGTTTACCCACACAATAGCATTTGTTATTTATTAACATTATTTTTTTATGTGTTTCTAAGTACTTTAGAATAAATTAAAGCTTTCCTTCCTTACAAAGGATTCAATGCGTTTTTTAATATTTTTCAACTTTTTAATTTGATTGATTTAAATAAAAATTAATTTAAATCATGGGATATCTAATTAGAAATGCTAAATAATTTTAGAAAATTACACCAGATGGACTCACTAAAATCATTACATTTTTTCTTTGATACCTAGGTATAATCCTGCTAAAGTTTTGCTAGTTCCTGCAAAATTCTGAGCTGCATTTCTGTTTGCAACTCTTGCAATAAAATATTCATTCGTCTCTCTGCTTAATTCACCACCCAAGTAACACATAGCATAGCAAAGACGTTGCAAACTGGTCAGAGAGGTTGCAAAGTTGCCGTGGTAACTTTTACGACATCTTTACAACGTTGCGAAGACGCAAAATATTTGGCGTTGCATCTTCCCAATTTGTCGACGTCGCTAAAATGTCATGATATGACCGCTTTTAGACATGGTCATTTCAGCATTTTTTTTTAGTTCATCAGCATTATTTTTAGAATGAAAAGAGACTAAATCTGTCCTTTCAAGAATCTGAAGTCCGTATTAAGATTTATTTTGCAATATTTCATTACTTTATTTCATCTAAATATATTAATCTAAGGTAAATTCATCTAATGAAATATAAATTTAATATAAATACTTGAATTATTAAATTTAATTAGTGCTAAAAATACGTACTAAATTATTGTTTGAAATGTTAAAATAATTCATATTTAAAAATGAAACTATTTTATAAAGTAAGTTAAGTTACATTTTATATATTTTAAAAAAACATGTTTCTGAAATCAATGCAAATCACGTTAGCAATTATTTCACTGCTGAAATATGACTTTATTTATTATTTCTGAAGTAAGGACGAATTTGTTTGAATTAATATGCTGACATAATATGAAACATTTTACTGCATACAGAGCAAAAAATACAATTTTTGCAAAGATATGTTTGTGCGTGAAGATGTATTCACCAATAAAAATGGGGCGATTTTAAGAATTCCGAGAAAATGTCCAATGTTAAAAGACGTTCCTTATCCATGCATATTTAACGGCTGTCCAATATATCTGACGGAAAACTCACTGACTGTTAGGAAAAGCAGAACAGAAAAAATTAATGGAAAAGGATTAAGAAATATTAACTCTTTTCATGGAAAATGACAAAGTTAATGGTTTTGATAAATTACTAATAAATATTGGCATCAAAATTAAAGAAACTGTGAACAAAAATAAGAAATTCATTACCTAACAAAATTCTGATGAACTGTTTGTTATGTTTTTATGTTTTTGTGCATTCAAAATTGCTTGATGTAATCCTAGTATACGGTACACTCGGGATTTGGCTACATTGACATTACAAATGTTTTAGCAAGCGTGATAAATAGTTTGTAAATATAAATTTGTGATTATTGTTCACAATTCTATTCATTTGAAATAATTCTTCTAGGCCATTTAAAAAAGATTTTATTAAATTATCAGAAGAACCCTCGAAAGGTTTAATGCAATCATAAATTGCTGAAAAGTTTAGACTGAACTGCTGTTTGACCGATTGACATTCCATGTACATTATTTACTGGATGATTATATATAAACAAACATCTGAGCTGGAGGCTTGCGTCTTTCGCTAGCTGCCAAATTTAAACAAGTTAGTTAACGGCTCAATAACTTCAGACTCCATCTTATTTTCAGAAATATTTTCTTCGGGGTTTTGTAATTCACCGTCGGAATTAAATACTGGAGAGCTTCAATACAGCAAGAGAACAATGTACAAGAATATAATGGTGGCAGTTTATTTTGAATTGAGGAGCAATCATTGTGGTAATGCCGAATTTCTGCTTATTTTGTTTGTGACTATCAGAAGCGAATGTCACTTGAAAGGAAACGTCACTTTCGCCAATCTGAGCGATAACTGATTCTTGTTTGGCTTTCAGCCTGTTTACCAAGTGAAGATGGTAACCCTATTTTGCCAAAGGACGTTTCTCAGAACTGTTCAGCAAACGTTTTGTTACAAATATCCTATGTGATAAGGGTTTAACTGATGGCTAAACTGCACTGCTTGGACAATCTGCTGCACAATCAATGAGATAATACATAAGTACCTTTTTTTGTAATAAGTATTTTAGGTGGCTATTTTAAATAAAAGACAAGCTATATCGAACAGGAAAGCAATTCACCCACATTTTCTATTTTAAGAAAAAAACTGCAGAAATTTTTGAAAAATTTGATTCAAGAGTTCAAATTGAAGGAAACCACATTTCCCCCTCCCCTGAACAAAAGATGGTTTGAAAAATAGAGGATCAATTGCTATGGAGTTCTTCTGTAGAATCATTCAGAATGTTTGGTCAAGTAAGAAGATGCCAGATGATTGGCTCATAAGCATTGTATGTCCAATCTACAAAAAAAAAGAAGACTCTTTGGCTTGTGAAAACTATACAGGGATAAGTTTACTGGGCACATACTTGCTCCAGAGTTTTCTCTAAATTACTGTACAGGAGACTCGTTCCTTGTGTAGATAGAATTGTTGGTGACAATTAATGTGGATTTTGTGCAAATTAATCTGTGGAACATATCTTTGGCCTTAGAAAATTATGAAGAAATCTCTTGAATTTAATATTGATTTACATATCTTGTTTATTGATTATAAAGCAACATATGATTCCATTGATCACAATAAATTTTAAGAACAATGCATGATTTTGATATTTTCTTGAAACATAAAATTGGTAAAAAGTAGGCTTAATATGACTTTTTGCAAATCAAGATTACCTTTCTAATGGTTTCCTTATTAGTAAAGGAGTTAGACAAGGAGATGCCTTGTCATGCCTTTTATTTAAAATAGCATTGGAAGGGTTCATCAGGAAGTCTCGACTAAACACCAGGAGCAGTATTTTTAGAAAATCTATTATATTACTGGCATTTGCAGATGACATAGCACTGATAGCCAAAAGCAAAAGATATCTATTAGAAGTGTTTGAAGCTAATAAGAGAGAGGCTAAACCAGTGAGCTGTATTATTAAAGATAAAACTAAATATATGATTACTATTTGAAATATTTAAACCCTAACTCATCTCTTAATTGGGGATCATAAATTTGAAACGGTTACAAATTTCATATATCTGAGATCAATGTTAAACAAAAGCAGTGATGTCCTACTTGAAATAAAGAGATATATTGTTGCACCTAATAAAGCTTTTTATAGATTAAAGAATTAACTTAGATCTGGCTTTTTACCTGAAAAGACAAAGCCTATTACAAGACCCTAATCGATCCTTATGCTCTGAAGACCGGGACTATGACCGTGTAGGAGGAAGGGATCTTGGGTATTTTTGAACACAATGTCATGAGAAGACTTTAGGAAAATGGTATCTGGCATAGAAGACTTAATACCAAATTGTAACAAATGTTCAAAGAGCCAGATGTTGTTCATTACCTTAAAATAAGCCACCTCAGTTGGGCTGGGCATATTTTCCATATGAATGACAGTAACATTCTAAAAGAAACTTTTCGTGCTGGACCAGGAACATGAGAAGGAGAGGTAGACCTAGACTTTGATGGATATATGCTGTAAAGGAGGATTGTTTAGTCCTTAAAACTAAGAACTGGAATAATTTGGCTGCTAGTAGAGGTGGTTGGAAATGTCTAATTCA